CACTACCACCACCACCACCACCACCACTACCACTACAACTTCCACCACCACCACCACCACCATTATTATTATTGTTATCATCATGATCATCATCACTATTATTATTGCTATTAGTATTACATATGAGCTGGCCCCTTCCAAAAGCAGAATCAGTAAAAGAAAAAAAAATGCGACAACCGTAGTTTACAAACTTGATCAGACAAACAGAAGAACAAGGTAGAAATCCTACAGAACTTTTGTTTGTTTTTTTAAAGTGTTTTACGGCGCTCGCAACTGCATAAGGTGCGCGGGACACACCTAATATTTTCAGTTGGTAGGAAATTTTGAATTTTGCCCGGGTGGCGGCCGAGGCCTACTCTTATCGATTTTAGACCACCAAGGGATCTTTAACGTGCGCAACTTGCACAAGGGCCGTCCGAGATTTTTCGCCCTTGTCCGAGAAGGCTAGGTGTAGATCTTTCCTACCAGAAGATCATAGGTGTGGCAGAAAGGCAGCAGTTAGGAGGAGCCAAGGAGTAGCAGTAGAAAGGCTGCAGAAAGAGTCAGGAGCCCAGAGGAGGGGGCAAAGGAGGTGAGGGGGTGGGGGCAGAAAGTGGAAATGAAAGCAGACAACAGAACATTGCTAGAGATCAGTAAAGGATGTGAAAGGAGACAATTTTAGAGAAGAACATTTTTTGGTCGCTACCCGGAATCGAACCCGGGACCTTTGAATGAGAGGCCAACACCTTAACCTCTAGGCCACGAGAGCCCCCTTAGAAACAGTCAGGAGCCCAGAGGAGGGGGCAAAGGAGGTGAGGGGGTGGGGGCAGAAAGTGGAAATGAAAGCAGACAACAGAACATTGCTAGAGATCAGTAAAGGATGTGAAAGGAGACAATTTTAGAGAAGAACATTTTTTGGTCGCTACCCGGAATCGAACCCGGGACCTTTGAATGAGAGGCCAACACCTTAACCTCTAGGCCACGAGAGCCCCCCAACAGAACTTACCCGTGTTTGTTTCTTTCTTCCCTCAGTTTTTATTTAATTTCGAAATACGCCAGAACAAGAAAAGAATTCGTGTTTTTCTTTCTGTAAAACTCTACTTTTCTTCTATTTATGAGCTTAACGTTTTATCCACGTATAAAAGAAGACGTTAGTTTCGTTAGCGCTGGTGAAAGAAAAGAAATCAAAACAGAAACACGAAAAACTACAACAACACGAGGTGGCGGCAGAAATTGTCAGTGTGTGACAAGTCGAAAGAACACACAGTAACTGCTAATACCAGAGAGGCTTGAAATGAAAGCAGCAGCAGCAGCAGCAGCAGCAGCAGCAGCAGCAGTAGCAACAAAAAAGAACAGCAACAGCAACAAAGAATAACAGAAACATCAATAATGATAAAAACAGGGAAAATGACAGCAACAACAGCTTTTCTTCTTTCTCTTTCTCATGTTTTCTCGTTGTTGTTTTTTGTGGGGTGTATTTGGAATTGTTTTACAGGGCTCTGAACTGCAGAAGGTCATATGAGTGCGCGGGATACATTAAACATTTTAAGTTGGTAGGAAATTTTGAATTTTTCCCGGTTGGCGGTTGAAGCCTACTCTTATCGATTTTCGACCACCAAGGGATCTTTAAAGTGCCCAACTTGAACACGAGACCTCCGAGATTTTTCGCTCTTGTCCGAGAAGGCCATATGTAGGTTTTTGCTACCTTAATATCAGGGGTGTGGCTGAAAAACAGCAGTAAGAAGGAACCAAGGAGTAGCAGTAGAAAGGCTGTAGAAAGAGTCACGAGCCCACAGGAGGTGATGGGGTGCAACAATAGCGACAACAATAACAACAACAACAGTGACAATAATAATAACAACAGTAACAAACAATAAAAACAACGTGAAGAACAGGAACACAGAAGCGACAACACACAATCAGTTGTAGAAGCACGGAAACAAATATCATGTACTTGATAATGAGGGATATAATATAACAATAACAAGTGTTTGTTTTGTTGTTTTTTACAAATTTTATTGAAAACATTGTACATATGAAAAGAGAAAAAAAGAACATAAAGATACGTTATGATATTATAGAGGGCACATTGACATATCAGCGGTGATTTTCGAGGAAAAAATTATTGACATCAGGTAAATTTCCTCAACTTGCAGTTTGAATACAATGCATTTATAAGTTAATTATGTAGTTTGAAACTCGAGGCATACAAACAAAAATTCAAAAGGGAAACTGAGAATGTTGCAGATTCAAAGGGTGTCCAATAAACCACTGGGCTTGCAGTAACAGAACAATAAAACTAGGTTGGATAAAATTCGATAATAGTTTGTTACAGTAGTTAAAACATTTGATCAGAAAACACAAGTACAAAATACATTGTTAATATGAATTCAATGAGTCAGAAATTTTTAATGTAATTGAAGAAAGCATAAAAAAGTGGATCATATTTTGGGGTTTTTTCATTATTATTATTATTATTACTATTATTATTATTATCATTATTATTATTATTATTATTATTATTATTATTATTATTATTATTATTATTATTATTATTAATACTACTACTACTATCGCTACTATTACTATTATTACTATTATTATTATTATTATTATTATTATTATTATTATTATTATTATTATTATTATTATTATTATTATTATTATTATTGTTATTATTATTATTATTATTATTATTATTATTATTATTATTATTATTACTATTATTATTATTATTATTATTATTATTATTATTATTATTATTATTATTATTGTTGTTGTTGTTGTTGTTGTTAATTTCTTTTTCTTTTCTAATTTTTTGGGTGGATAAGGAGGGGTTTATACAATTAATGCAAGTTGTGAGTTCACCCAAATCAATATTGGATCCTAAAATATCAGTTTCAAATACATATCCTGGAATACTAACTCAGGACGTATTGATCAATAATGTACGCTTGACACGAGCAAAAGTTATTGTGTTCAAGTTGAGCTGATCGGACAAATCGCTTTATGGAAGTATCAAAATGCAGTATCACGAACAGGTTTTTCCCCAATTGTGAATATGAACATATCAAGGGAACAAATATTCTTCATTAATATTTCAAACTAAAAGAATTGCATCATGTTGTTTCAGGTTAATTATATATATATATATATATATATATATATATATATATATATATATATATATATATATATATATATATATATATATATATATATATATACAATATTGCTTATGACCATTACTGCTACTGTAACACAAAAACTTCTCAAATATCTGCCCCAATTACGTTATACCACTAGCTGATAATGTTCATCAATTATGTTCAATTCTAAGACAACTTGCCATCCAAAGAGTTGCTCTTTGTTCGGGTTTTATTTTTGTATTTGTTTTTCTTTTTGGAAAGGAAAGGGGGGGGGGGGGGAGTTTCTACAATTATTGCAACTTTTGATTACATTCAAAGAGTATCAGTTTCGAATACATATCCTGGATAACTAACTGAGGGCATGACGATCAACAATGTACAATTATTATTTTTAAAAATTGACACAAGCAAAAGTTATTGTCTTCAAGTTGAGCTGGTCAGACAAATCGCTTTCTGGAAGTATCAAAATCTAGTATCATGAACGCATATTTCCCAATTATTGTGAATATGAACATATCAAGAGCACACACACTTCAAACTAAAAGAATTGCATCATGTTATTCCTGGTTTCTTATGCTTTCCTTTTATATATACAATATAACTTATGACCATTACAGCTACTGTAACAAAAACTTCTCAAATATCAGTCTCAATTACGTTATACTACTGGCTGGTAATGTTCATCAATTATGTACAATTCTAAGACAAAGAGCTGCTCTTATCTTGTTCTTCCTCCGGTGAGGTTTAATTCTTTATGAAGGGATCAAGAAGTGACTTTCTGTACAACTAATACGTTTGTTATACATGTAGAACAGAGTGATTTAAATTTGTATTTTCATCGGACTTTTAAACTGTACAATAAGAATATTTGGCATTTTTATTTGAATAAATGCAAAGTGTTCAAAATCATCTCGGCGTTCCTTTAATAAGTTTAAAAATAGGCAGCACAGAGCTAACTATATTCAATTTTTTTTTAAAGGAAAACATTATAACAGCAGGACGACATGGATGGAAGTATACAAAAAAAGGGGAATAATAAAACGTGGTTGTTTGTTTTGTTGTTGTTTTTTGGTGTTTTTTTTTGTTTTCTTTTTCTTTTAAGGGGGGGGGGGACATTTTTTGGTCCTTTTTTTGTTTGTTCGTCTGTTTGTTTGCTATTGGGAGGGAGGTGAATGGAATAGACAATTATTGTAAGTTGTGATTAAATTCCAAACACTATTTGATTCCAAAAGATATCAGTTTCAAAAACACTTCATGGATTTCTAACTCAGGGCGTGATGATCAGTAATTTAGAATAAATACAAAATGCTCAAAATCATCAATGCGTGCTAATACTATAGTGAAATAATGCACACTTTTATAGAAATAATAATGTTATGACAATATTCAAAATTGCACACTCTGGATTCATTCCGGTTCACCTTGGAGGGAAAGGCTGGGAGTGAAAGGTTCCGCGAGTACTCAACTTTGGCTTGACTGGAGTTTTGCCTTTCATTTGCCCTTTCCTGGTGTGCAGAGGGAGAGAGAGAGAGAGAGAGAGAGAGAGAGAGAGAGAGAGAGAGAGAGAGAGAGAGAGAGAGTGAGAGAGAGGGGGGGCTGAGAGAGAGGGTGGCTAAGAGAGGCAGAGACAGAGGTAGAAAGGAGGGTGGAGGGAGAGGGGGAGAGAGGTAATGAGAGAGAGAGAGAGAAAGAAAGAGAGAGAGAGAGAGAGAGAGAGGGGGGGGAAGAGAGAGAGAGAATGAGGGTGACAACAGGCAAAGAAAGTGCTCAGTCTGAAATATTATGATTCAAGTCAAAGTGCTCCGAGAATTAAAATAGGAACTGAGATACGACGATGAATGTTCTGTGGTGGATAATCCAAAGTATCGAAAGTCAAATTGTTCTCTCTTGTTGTGCTGACTGGTCATCAGAATGACGTGGTGTGACATCGTGGTCGACGCGAAGATTTGCCTGCTGGTTGTTGGTGAGAAGTTCTAAGATTTGGCTGACTGAAGCCCGGTCTGCAGGCTTGGGACACAGTAAAAGTTGAGCACATTCCCTGTATGTGGCGGAGATTGTTTGGTCGTTCTCCAGAATCTTCAGGTAATCCATGCCTCTCTGGGGCCGTTTTCGAAACAGAAGTGCCCACAATAAAACACCCAGGCAAAAACTCTCGAGTTTGAAAGCATCTAGCACCGGTTGACCTCTCTTGTATTCAGGTCCCTGGTAAGACGGGCGGCTTCCCCAAGACTTCAGACTGTTTGCGTTTTTCGGTACAGTCTGTGAATGTCCAAAGTCACAAAGCTTGGCGACTCCTTCACTAGTGAGTACGACATTTCGTAACCCTACGTCCCCATGCACGACACGGCGACTGTGTAGATAGCTCAAAGCCTCGGTGATCTGGCGAAAGTACTGACTGACCTCTTCATCCGTTATACGAGGTAACGCCCGATACAGGTCTTTAGAGGCAAGCTCCATCACGATGACCAGTGAGTTGGGACATCTGACAGCTTTCTCCATGTGGATGATGTACGGATGATGGAGGTCTTGTAAGAAGGAAACCTCATTTTGGAAATGGAACCGTATCCTGCGAATAGCGGCTGGGTTCTCATCCTCAGGAAAGGTGAATTTCTTCAGAGCTTTTTTCTCGTCCGGGTTGTTGACGTCTGTAGCTAGAGAAATCTGCGCCGTCGCACCACTGCCTAGAACACGTTCCTCTCTAAGACCTAGAGCATCAGTCACACTCACACTCACAGAGAGGTTCACCACCTCTGGACGTCGGAGGTTCAGCGTACTCTGCATACTGAAGCTGCACAGAGCTACACGGTGAAGGTGTAGAAAGCACAAGTCCAAGTTGAAATAAAATACACAAGGCGAAAAAACATTCACAAGTGGGGCTATGACAAACGAGAGCTCCTGTATTGTATAAATCCTTCCTGCTACAAAGTCCGAAATACGACCAAGTGTAGTCAAAGATACAGCAATACTCCGGAAGATGCGAAGCAAACTTGCTAATCTTGCATCAAGAAATGAATGTTAAAGGTGGATGCATCGTTTTAAATACGCCATGGTCACGTGCTCCTTTCTACCTTTTTGTTGTTATGTAAGAGATGTGAGGATTATGACTCGTGACAGATGCCACCATTTCAATGGTCAGTGAATCGTGAGAACAAGTTTAGGGATTAAACAATCTTTTGTTCCGACATGTTGCGTTATCGCTGGCGCTTACATTACGCTGGACAAGTGGAGCTGGGAAGGTGCTCAAGGACAAGCCATGGTTGATAACAATTGACAGGTAGCTCAACCGATCAAAATAAAGTCACGCTTTGAGTACCTGCCCACAACAGGCAAGCGGGCAATCTTTAAAAAGTTTCTTGTTTTTGTTCGTTTGTTGAAAGAATTCTCGTGTCAGAATTACTGAGTATTCAAAGTGTCAAATATTTGTTAAAAAGTCCTTGTGAATTTTTATAACTTTTTTGCTCTTAAATTTTTTCCATTCCGTTTCAGTCTTTAAAAACTTAAATAAAATCTGTTATAGAATTACAGTAAATTTGAAGAAAAAAAACAAACAAAACATCAGAAAAAGACCCGAAATCTGTCGCTTAACCTAATGCTCCTACACATTGTAACATGTTCGTTGCCGGGGGCGGAGGAAGGCTGTAGGGTCAGGCGGCGTAAGAGGCATAGGTTATCACACAGGTGTGACTGCAAGTTATGTCAGTGTGGTTTTGTTCTGTATGGAAACTCACAGTTACCTGCTTTTATATTTTAGACCTAAGAGACGAATTGCCTCTTGCATAATCTACTACTGATCTATTAAGCTTCAAGTAGTTTTCTTTTTAAAACTCATTCCTTCCCGTACGCCCCTCTCTTCCTAGAACACTATTTATCTTTCAGTTCTTTACCTTACCATGTCTTCGATCTAATTAACACTCTAATCGAATTTCTTCACCCCCCCCCCCCTGGAGTCACCCTTTCAACCCCTGACCATACACCTGAGTGACAACAGATCTGAAACAAGATGGTGATGACATGAAACAAACAAGATCATGGTCTTTCAATTACACCAGTGCTTGTTAAACTGATTATATCCCGTTGTCAGGCTAAATACTCGTACCACCCGTACACATTATGTACTGTCCAAGACGGTCAACCTTTGTTTAGGAGAAAAGTTGTCATCTTAGACAGGTAGTCCTCCTGGAGAGTATCCTTGTAATAGAACAACGAAAGAGGGAATGTAGGAAGTGATGGTTTGTAAAAGTGGTCGTCTTGAATAGGTGATCGTTGGAACAAGTTCAATTTGCATTTAATAATCACTGCCACAACCCTTTCTAGAAGCCAACGTGGTGCGCTCGCTGATAAAAACAACCAGGAAAAGACAAAATGCATTTTTGGGACACTTAGATAGACATAAAGGTATTGAACATCCAGCTTGCACGGGCAAAGTTGAAGGTAAACGAGGCATAGCAACCTACAGGGAGAGCTAAAACAAATGGGTGAGAGAGAAAGTTGAGGATAATGTATCTCTTTTAAGAGCATCCGAGTAAAAGAATGGATGGAGAACCATGATCGCCAATGTCTGTCACAGATCTGGCACTTGATGATGATGATGATGATGATGATGATGATGATGATGATGATGATGATGGTGATGATGATGATGATGATGATGATGATGATGATGATGATGATGATG